ACTACTCTATTCCAGGTGATACATGGGGCACTTCGGAAATTTCAGACGAGGTTCCCAGGTCTGCTGGTATGGGTATTCCTAGGATAGGCTCCTTAAAAGAGCAGCTTTACCTGGCATTGCAAGAGCAGCAGCGACTGAGTCTACTTGTTGATGATCTAACCAAGTATGCCCAAGGCTCAGACCTCAAGCTCTGATGAGGTCCTTGTCAGGGAGGTGGAGGAATCACGTCGGGAGATTGTGATACGACCGAGGATCGATATAATATGCAACATGTTGTCGCCTTTAGATGATGGATCTATACACAGTAGGTGCATCTACGGTGTCCTACACATATACCTGACAACTCACTCGCGATGGTAGGTTGTATTTCGGTCTATGGCGATGGCGAGCAGGATGTTACTGATTCAATTGAGAGTATCAACGCATCAGAAGGCCATCGGCATATAGCGGAGGCAGTGGTGAATAACATCATGACGTCTACGGCCATGGATTGGGCTCCCATTGATGCCATTCTAGCTCGGAATGTAGTGGCAGATATCGTTCGATATGTTGTAGGTTGTTGTGAGATGGGCGAGAGGTAATGGTAGTAGTGCCTTGAGTTGGGCTTTGTCGAGTAGCAAGCCGTTGATGGCCTTCGTCGATTGATCTGGATGCCTGTGTCATTGCTCCAACGTGATCTTTTCTATGAACATGCACATCGTGTCTCTCTATTTCTATTATACTTCTTGCCCCTTCCCATTGCATCACTTGGCTTAGTCCGATCATTTAACCACTGCTTGTTGTTCATGCTTGTCACGCTGTCCTCCATCGGATGCATTACATTGATACATTTCCCGTTGCGTTGAGCATGGACTGGTTATCGAAGTTTCTTGGCTATACCAGAGCTAGCTAGACATCAAAAACCATTTGTCGCATGGCTATGGTATGTGTTGAAGGACATCAAATCTCATATGGTTAATGCTGGAAGTGTAGCCATTGGTTCTTGTGCGAGAATTACCCTCAATCACCTCTCCTGCAACGTCATGAGACTACCGATGGGCCGCGCCTAGGCATTCCCGATGGCACCACTCCGTTGATCCACTTCTGTGGTAGGTCAACGGCCTTTACATTCATTGGAGTCACAGTCGGGAGAAGCTGATGCGGATGATGGAATAGGGTTGGATGGAGAGTGAGCGAGCTGCGGTATTGCATTTCGATATATATTCCCAAAGGATGACATCTCATGAACAGGCTTAATCGTAATGATGATGCTAGGGTGGATCACGCTGTATATCGTGAGGTCGACTGAGGAAGCCTCAGTCGATGATTTACACTCAAACTATCGAACATAGTTCGTGGTAGGTATCTGAGGAGAGTGGCACTGTGATTCTGTGATGCTATCAATGTCTTCACCATCAACACCTGCATTTAATCATGTCTGTCATTAACGCTCGTGTGGGGCGATAACTATTCTATTGGTCTCTTTGTTCATAATTATTTCCACTGTCATGCGTATCTACCTTCAACACTAATGATGCTCATTAGATCAGCTCGAGTTGAGTGAACATACGTATCAATATCTCGCATTGTTATCACGAGACGGTTCGTCGAGCATGTGCCATGCCGTATATTGATCACTGAGGATGGGAGCTCTCCATTCGGGTTTGCTCTTGATATTGCATGGGCAGAGCGGAGCCTTATCTGGTCTGATGCCCTTGAGGGTCCAACCCTCAACCGCCGGACGTGGCGAGACCACATCGGCTTAGTAGCAATAACGTGATAGTTTCCTGAGATCATCGTTATAGTGTAAGTAGAATGCGCTCACCGCCCTCATAATTGCTCTATCTCCAATAGTCATTCCACATAGAGGCTCTATATCATACATGCAGCTATATGAGATATTTACATGTCCATTTAACACATCCCTTCTACTCGTCAAAATGTCTTACCCACGAACATCTCAATACGTGATATCACGATATAGACTGCTGCTGGCCCTATTCACCCTCATACCAGTGGCCATCTGCCTTATACCTATGTATGTAGCACCACGAGGAGCCTGGTATATACCTCATATGGTAATAGTATATGCTGCTTCTGCTGCCATTCGGCTTCGACTATTGTGTTATTCATTAGATTTTGGGGCCTATCTGGGCAGCAGTTGCGGCGGACTTCAACTACAAGTCGTGTAGAGACTTCACTAGGAAGGCAGTGGCTGGGATATGGATTGGCGCTACTACAGGAGTCCTTGTCCATTACCTCGTATCCCTCATGAGTGGTACTGTTGATAAACCTGATGAGTATCCAAGATTATGGGCAGTATTCCTGCAATTGCCATTCACATTTATTTTCTGTTTGGCACGTTCGACATCAGGATGCAAGTTGGATGATGTATTCTATGGTCAGCACGCCCTGATTGTATCCTCTATACCCACTGAGTTCTTTACTATCAGTGCCTATGGTGAGGCTGTTGTCTATGCTGTATCTGGTACTGTACGCATATTAGTCACCTTTACACTCATAGCAGTGATGAACCTACTACACTGGTTACCAAAACCAGGCCTCCCACCACATGAAATGTTCAGCTATAGA